CGGACTTCCTGGACGTTGGAATCCTTGGAACTTTATGGCTTTGATTTCTACGGCGGTCTTTAACGCGTATCCTTCTGCGCGCTCGCGGAAGGAAACTCGCATAGAGAACCGCTAGAAGTGTAAATTCTCGCCATAACTTACTCGTATCTTTCTCAACTCAAGTTTTATCTCGTCGATCCGTCCTTTTGTAGTATCAGGAAGGGAATTGCAATGGAAAGATGCCTGTAGTTTCTTCGATTAAGACTGAATCGAAACGTGTCTGTAGGAGTTCAGGTATCTGTAAATAATTTTAAGCATTTTCCGCTTTATGCAATCGTATGGTAATGAGCAACGCTAAAGGTCAAGAGATAATATTTTATGTCCTATTGTTCAAAGAAAACGTCGAAGCTATCATTTATTCTATCTCGCGAATCGTTTTTCATCGTTAACATAATTACGATTGATTAAGTTACTTGGTTACTTTGCGTGTGTCGAGTCTAAGCGAGATCGGGCCAGTCGAGGTGTCAAACAAGTCCTTCAGCTACGCTGAATTTATGATTTATCTATGATCCATTTCAGTTTATATCTTTACAAGCGGCAAAAATGCTGCATTCGTTACCACAGCCAACGCGCGTGCGGTCGAGCTTGTTATCGCGTTCTTCGAAAGAAACGAAAGGCATCGCACAATTGCGGGAGCAGATCGAAGACGCCGCGAGGATCACCGAGACCTCCGAGTGCGTGAAGCCAGGCTAATCGGCGTCCCGTAAGCTTACGTTCCGACGATTCTACCGGGAACACCGTCGAGTTCTTTGCCGCGGCGAAGAGGGGTATCTTCGATCACGCTTTCTTCTTATGCGACGGCGCTGTCATGGTCGAGCGCCGACAGTAACGACGCTCGAGGTTTCTTCATTTCTCGGGACGGTCGCGCGTCGTCAAAAGTATTTGTCAGATGGTTTCTCGCCTTACAGCAAACCCGGGGGGGGGGGGGGAAGAGGGAAATTCCATTAACTTTGATCTTGAAGAGATTCCTGTGGAATGACTGAGAGATAATCAGCGGAACAAGAATGAAAACTTATCGACGATGACCAAAGACGGGTTGGACCTTATCGCAGTAATACTTTAGCGTTTTTTTTAAATCTCATATTAAACCGTGCATGTACACTGAAAAAAATTTCTGGTTGAATATGGACGAATCAGATAATTCCTTTAGGATTTACCA